ATTCGTAAATGCTAAAAATAACGAATGTTTAACGAATAACAAAATTAACGAACGAAACCGCACAGGCCTAAAAGACACTATATTGAAGACCTCTATTCCTCTTCCGAATAAATACTCTTGTTTCAATCCACACAAAACTAATTTATTTATTTACAAGGTGGGGAACCCTAACCGCTTCTTCTCTTGTTAGCTTTGGGAACGGGCTCGGGATTGATCCAGCCTGGAAGGAAAAAGGAAGAAAACAGATTAGAAATATTCAATATTAATAGAGTTTCAATACATTCCCCTTCCTCTCCTTAGGCAGAGAAAAAAAAATAGATGGTATCTATAGAGTAAATTCAAAGTATGGCAACATAGGGACCACAGAACCCATCAGTCATTTTCCAGAGCTGCCAAAAAGTTCAGGATGCAACAACATCATCTGGCAGGAACTGGCTTGTTCAGTAGCCTCTCCTCTACAGTTCCATTTTGGCTGGTGAACGCCCCATTCCGCCCCCTCCCAAAATGCTCTTTTGGGGAAAGGATGGTGGTCTCACCGTCGGACGGGGTCCGGGATGTGGGCCTGGTCCAAAGGGATGAGCCGCGCAAGGTCCGCCAAACTATCCACGAATTGGACTTTCCGGCTAAACTTGGAACTGGAAGAGAAACAGAGTCAATGGGGATATGTATATATCTATATGTGTGTGTATATGTGGGTGCGTATGCATATGTATGTGTATGTATGTGTCTGTATATATATGCGTGTGTGTTTATATAGGCCTGTGCATATATACGAGTATATATGTATATGTATACATATATGTGTGTATACATATATGTATGTATATGTATATGTGAATATGTGTGTATGCATCTGCGTAGATATGTATGTGTATTTGTGTGTGTGTGTATATATATGTGTGTGTGTGTGTCTATATAGGCCTGTGCATATATTCGAGTATATATGTATATGTATACATATATGTGTGTATACATATATGTATGTATATGTATATGTGAATATGTGTGTATGCACCTGCGTAGATATGTATGTGTGTTTGTGTGTGCATATGTATGTATGTGTGTGTGTTTATATAGGCCTGTGCATATATACAAGGATATATGTATATGTACATATATCCTTGTGTATAACATATATGTATGTATATGTATATGTGAATATGTGTGTATGCATCTGCGTAGATATGTATGTGTGTTTGTGTGTGCATATATGCATGCGTGTCTATGTATGTGCATTTGTCTGAATATATATTCATGTATGTATGTGCCTATATATGTTTGTGTCTACATATGTGTGTGTGCGTATATATATAAAATGTGTGTGTATATATGCATGTGTGAGTCTCCTTTGACCAAGATGAAGTGGGGTATCAATAAAAATAATGATAATATATATATGCATGTGTGTATGTGTGTGTATATATGTGTGTACATTTATCTGTGTGTATATATATGTATGCATGTATATGTATATATATGTAGGTATGTGTGTATGTGTTTATATATATATATATATAATTTATTTATTTACTATATCTGTATACCGCCCTTCTCAGCCCTCAGGCGACATATATGTGTATGTGTGTATGTATGCATGTATGTATATATGTATGTGTATATATAGGTTTGTATCTCTATGTATGTGTATTCATGTGTGTTTATAGATGCATATATGTTTGTGTATATATGTACACATGTGGTGTATATATGCATGTGTGTTTATGTATGTACATGTATGTGTGTGTGCATATGTATGTGTGTATATATCTATCTATATGTGTGTGTATGTGTATATATATATATATATATATATATATATCCATGTCGTGGATATGTGTCTATATATGTGTATACACACACACACACACACACACACACACACATATTTACAACATTTACATGCCGCCCTTCTCACCCCAAAGGGGACTCAGAGCAGCTTACTCTCTCTCTCTCTCTCTCTATATATATATATATACACACACATACATAAATACATACATACATACAATATATTATATTATTAGCATAGTACAATATCAGTATTATATATCACTATATTGTACTATACCATTATATTGTATAATTATATATATACATTATATATGTATCATTTTATATATATATAATGTATATATATAATGTATATATACATTATATATATCCATATATATATGCATGTAGTGTATATATGCATGTATGTGTATATGTATGTGTGTGTACATGTATGTATGCCATTATATTTTGCATAATTATATATACACACACATTATATATGTATCATTATATTATATATATAATGTATATATACATTATATATATGCATTATATATATATGCATGCAGTGTATATATGCATGTATGTGTATATGTATGTGTGTGTACATGTATGTATGCCATTATATTTTGTATAATTATATATATACACACAGTATATATGTACCATTATATATATGCATTATATATATATGCATGTAGTGTATATATGCATGTATGTGTATATGTATGTGTGTGTACATGTATGTATGCCATTATATTTTGTATAATTATATATATACACACATTATATATGTATCATATTATATATAATGTATATATACATTATATATATGCATGTAGTATATATGCATGTATATGTATATGTATGTGTGTGTACATATAGGTGTATTACGTTCCTTGCTTCAGACAAAGGGGGGAAACCAACCCACCTGATGAAGGGTCTAAAGACGGCCATCAGCGCCTTCACATACCAGGCCGGGTGGACAATAACCAAAGCCTTGAGGTTCTTCCGGATCCTGGAAGGGAAAGCAACAGGAGAGAGAAAGCGCTGTTGGCCAGTGGAACTCCCTGCCGCTGGATTTTCCCTTGGGAAGCAGGGCAGCCTTACCTCCGGTCGACGGTTTGGTAACACTGTTTGATCCACGCAAAGGATGGCAACCTGCTTCTGGGGGTGGCCCCGTTGAGGCACACCAGGGTGTAGTTTTGGGCCACCATCAGCTCCAACGTCCCTACGAAGTACCTGGTTTGGAACAAAATGCAATCAACACAACTGGATCTCCTTTATTGTTGGACGCTGCATTGGAAAGGGTTTGGAGGTGCAATACAGACCCATTGGCTTTGCAGAAGGACCCACTCTGGGGAGAGAACACTCACATGAAGAGATTCTCCATGACATACGGATAATCTGGGATGGAGCTGTCCGGTAAGTAACACGCGGCAAAGACGATAATGGCATTCAAACCTTCGCCGTCATACCCTGGAAAACACGAAATCCCTAAATTGGGCTAAATTAGGACCTATTTCTATGCCCTACCGCATTAGGATACTTAAACGATATCCTAATATATTATGATATATTCAAATATTTTAAATATCCTAATATACAAGGTTTGAATGAAAAGTAATGCCTCCACCTTCGTAACTCCTCAACAGAGGGCAGTACTGGTATGCGGCAGGTACTGGCTTGTTCAGTAGACTCTCCTCTACAGTTCCATTTTGGTGGGAAGCCTTTGCATTGAACGGTTGTGTTGTTAAAGTGCGAAGTGTGGAACCCTGTGCAGACGGTCGGTCAATGGGACTTAAGCAACGTGCAGCCATTGAATTCTTGACAGCAGAATGTGTCACCCCAAAGGGGATTCATCAGAGAATGCAAGCTGTTTATGGTGATTGTGTTGATGTGAGTACTGTGTGTCGTTGGGCGAGTAAGTTTAAAGATGTTGAGCTGATGGCTTCCAAAATGGAACTGTAGAGGACAGTCTACTGAACAAGCCAGTACCTGCCGCATACGAGTACTGCCATCTGTTGAGGAGTTATGAAGGTGGAGACATTACTTTTAATTCAACCCTTAAAATGGAACTATAGAAGAGGAGTCTACTGAACATGCCAGTACCCACTGCATACCAGTACTGCTATCTGTTAAGGAGTTATGCAGGTGGAGGCATTACTTTTCATTCAAACCTGCCACCAAAATGGAACTGTAGAGGACAGTCTACTGAACAAGCCAGTACCTGCCGCATATGAGTACTGCCATCTGTTGAGGAGTTATGAAGGTGGAGGCATTACTTTTCATTCAACCCTTAAAATGGAACTGTAGAAGAGAAGTCTACTGAACAAGCCAGTACCCACTGCATACCAGTATTGCTATCTGTTAAGGAGTTATGAAGGTGGAGGCATTTCTTTTCAGTCAACCCTTGTATATTAAGATTTTCAAAATATTTGAATATATCATAATATATATTCAAATATATATATTCAAATATACTTTAACAACAGAACCGTTCAATGCAAAGGCTTCCCACCAAAATGGAACTGTAGAGGAGAGTCTACTGAACAAGCCAGTACCTGCCACATACCAGTACTGCCATCTGTTGAGGAGTTACGAAGGTGGAGGCATTACTTTTCATTCAACCCTGCCACCAAAATGGAACTGTAGAGGAGAGTCTACTGAACAAGCCAGTACCTGCCACATACCAGTGGGGTCTTCCTGGTGTTACCTGCGTGGGAGATGACCTTCTTGTAGGGTCCGACGGCAGACAGGTCCACTCTCTGTGGGCTGGCTTGCTCCTCGGGCAGGAAGATCCGCCAGGTCCGGCCGTCTGAGTCCCGGATGTCCGTCACCCGATTCGTGCAAAACCTCTCCCCAAGGTCGCCGTCCACTCGCTGGACCCTGGGAAGGTCGTCTGGAGGAAAAGCCAAGGCCATCTTGGGATCTGGTTTGCAGCCCCAAAAACCTATCCTATGGACATGAGATCTGGTTTGCAGCCCCAAAAAACTATCCTATGGACATGAGGTCTGGTTTGCAGCCCCAAAAAAACTATGCTATAGAAATGAGATCTGGTTTGCAGCCCCAAAAACCTATCCTATGGAAATGGGATCTGGATTGCAGCCCCAAAAACCTATGGTATCGAAATGAGTTCTGGTTTGCTGCCCCCAATACCTGTGCTATGGAAATGAGTTCTAGTTTGTAGCCGTAAAACCTATACTATGGAAAGGAGATCTGGTTTGCAGACCCAAAAACCTACGCTATGGAAAGGAGCTCATGTTTGCGGCCCCCAAAACCGATGCTATGGAAATGAGATCTGGTTTGCAGACCCAAAAACCTTTGCCATGGAAATGAGATCTAGTTTGCAGCCCCCAAAACCTATTCTATGGAAAAGAGGTCTGGTTGGCAGTCTCAAAAACCTATGCTATGGAAATGAGATCTGGTTTGCAGCCCCAAAAAACTATCCTATGGACATGAGATCTGGTTTGCAGACCCAAAAACCTATGCTATGGAAATGGGATCTAGTTTGCAGCCCCAAAAATCTATGGTATGGAAATGAGATCTGGTTTGCAGCCCTAAAAACCTATGCTATGGAAATGAGATCTGGTTTGCAGTCCCAAAAACTTCTGCTATGTAAATGCGATCTGGTTTGCAGACCCAAAAACCTATGCTATGGAAATAAGATCTGGGTGCAGCCCTAAACACCTATGCTATAGAAATGAGATCTGGTTTGCAGCCACCAAAACCTATTCTATGAAAATGAGGTCTGGTTTGCAGCCCCAAAAACCTAGGGTATGGAAAGGAGATCTGGTTTGCAGCCCTAAAAACCTATGCTATAAAAATGAGATCTGATTTGCAGCCCTAAAAAACCTATGCTATAGAAAGGAGACCTGGTTTGCAGACCCAAAACCCTATGCTATGGAAATGCAATCTGGTTTGCAGTCCCAAAAACCTATGCTATGGAAACAAGATCTGGTTTGCCGATTCTAAAAACTTATGCTATGGAAATAAGATCTGATTTGCAGCCCCAAAAACCTATGCTATGGAGTTGAGCTCTGGTTTGCAGCCCTAAAAACCTATGGTATGGAAATGGGATCTGATTTGCAGCCATAAAAACCTATGCTATGGAAATGGGATCTGGTTTGCAGCCCCAAAAACTATGCTATGGAAATGAGTTCTAGTTTGCAGCCCTAAAAACCTATACTATGGCAATGAGGTCTGGTTTGCAGCCCCAAAAACCTATGCTATGGAAATGAGACCTGGTTTGCAGCCCCCAAAACCTAACTTATGGAAATGAGATCTAGTTTGCAGCCCCAAAAACCTATGCTATGGAAATGAGATCTAGTTTGCAGCCCCAAAAACCTATGCTATGGAAATGGGATCTAGTTTGCAGCCCCAAAAAATCTATGGTATGGAAATAAGATCTGGTTTGCAGCCCTAAAAACCTATACTATGGAAATGAGATCTGGTTTGCAGCCCCAAAAAATCTATGGTATGGAAATGGGATCTGGTTTGCAGTTCCAAAAACCTATGCTATGGAAATGAAATCAAAACTATGCTATGGAAATGAGATCTGGTTTGCAGACCCAAAAATCTATGCTATGGAAATGAGATCAAAACTATGCTATGGAAATGAGATCTGGTTTGCAGACCTAAAAGCCTATGCTATGGAAATGCAATCTGGTTTGCAGCCCCAAAAACCTATTCCATGGAAATGAGACCTAGTTTGCAGCCCAACAAAATGTATTATATGGAAACAGGGTCAAGTTTGCAGCCCAAAATAACTATTACATGGGGATGAGCTCTGGATTGCAGCCCGCAAAACCTAATACACGGGAGTGGACTTGGTTTGCAGTCCCAAAAACTTTATTATGTGGAAATGAGCTCTGGTTTGCAGCCCCAAAAACCTAAGCTATGGAAATGAGCTCTGGTTTGCAGCTCAAAAAAACGTATTATATGGAAACGGGGTCTAGTTTGCAGCCCAAAATAACTATTACATGGGGATGAGCTCTGGATTGCAGCCTGGAAAACCTAATACATGGGAGTGGCCTTGGTTTGCAGCCCCAAAAACTTATTATATGGAAAGGAGCTTTGGGTGAAACCCGAATCCATGCCCTCACCATCCCATTCGAACCCATGGCTTTCCTGCAGCTCGCTCTCGGACGGCGTCTCCAACTCGTCCACATCGATGTCCAGGCTCCCGTCCGGCGTCCGTTCCAGAAACTCGTCCGACTTCACCGACCCGTCTCCAAGTTCAGGGGCCGGGAGGCGTTTCTTCATGTGTCGCCGTCCGCACAGCTCCAGCGTGTTGAGGGCAACTGGGGGGGGGGGGGGGGGGGGGGGGGGGGGGGGGGGGGGATCAAAGGTCAAAGGTCAAGCGGAAGGTCCCGGGTTCAAATTCAAACCAAAATACTCCCAAGTTTCCTTGTTGTTGTTGTTTATTCGTTCAGTCGCTTCCGACTCTTTGTGACCAAGTTTCCTAGTAAACCAATTTTGGATCATAACTCCCAAAGGTTCAGTATCACTATGACTGGGAGTGATGGGCTCTGTAGTCCAAAATTTTATATACCTGAGACCCCAAAGAACAGAATAGGTAAGAGTTGGGCAAAGCTTTGTCTCTTTTTGGTGACTGAAAACAGGTGCAGATTCATTGACTTGACTGCTCGAGAATGTCATCCAAATGTTGTTGGACTACAACTCCCATCAGTCCTGGCCAATGTCAAAACTTGGGAAAGTCTCCTTTTGTCTGAGGATTTCTCCCTTGCAACCAAGTGAAATTCAACCATTTGGTGGCTGCAATTCCCCCAAAAGTGGCTTTTTAAAACCCAGGATGATGGGAAATGTAGTCTTCAGAATACCCAAGAATGGTGGCTGTAATTCCCCTGAAAGTGGATTTTCTTAGCCCAGATTTATGGGAAATGTAGTCTTCAGAATACCCAAGAATGGTGGTTGCAATTCCCCCCAAAGTGGCTTTTTAAAACCCAGGTTGATGGGAAATGTAGTCTTCAGAATACCCAAGAATGGTGGTTGCAATTCCCCCAAAAGTGGCTTTTTAAAACCCAGGATGATGGGAAATGTAGTCTTCAGAATACCCAAGAATGGTGGCTGCAATTCCCCCAAAAGTGGCTTTTTAAAACCCAGGAGGATGGGAAATGTAGTCTTCAGAAATCACTGTGGATGGGTCTATCCAGGGAACTGGACATAAAATTATTATTTATGACCTTACCGGGGCTCAATTCCGAACTCGATCCTTCTAGATCCTCTCCGGAGATCTCTTCTGGAAGAGGCCTGTGAAAGAGAAGAAGGAGTTGTAAGACGGTGGAGCATCTATATATTTAACATATTTCTTGATTCTAAGGCACACTTTTCCTCCCATATAAACATCTCTAAAAATGCAGCGCACCTTAGAATCACAAGAGAGATATATATATATACACACACATATATATACAAACACACAATATAATAATACAATAATAGCTATATCAATGTATTGTATATTGGTATATCTAATCCAATATATTGTATATTGGTATACCTAATCAATGTATTGTATAATAATACAATAACAGCTATATCTAATCAATATATTGTGTATTGGAATACCTAATCAATATATTGTATAATAACACAATGATAGGTATATCTAATGAATATATTGTATATAGGTATATCTAATGAATATATTGTATAATGATACAATAATAGGTATATAGAATCAATATATTGTATATTGGTATAGCTAATCAATATATTGTATAATATACAATAATAGATATATCAAATCAATATATTGTATATTGGTATAGCTAATCAATATATTGTATAATAATACAATAATAGGTATATCTAATCAATATATTGTGTATTGGTATACCTAATCAATGTATTGTATAATAATACAGTAATAGGTATATCTAATCAATATATTGTGTATTGGTACACCTAATCAATATACTGTATAATAATACAATAATAGTTATATCTATTCAATATATTGTGTATTGGTATACCTAATCAATATATTGTATAATAATACAATAATAGGTATAGCTAATCAATATATTGCATATTAGTATACCTAATCAATATATTGTATAATAATACAATAATAGTTATATCTAATCAATATATTGTGTATTGGTATACCTAATCAATATATTGTATAATAATGCAATAACGGGTATATCTAATCAATATATTGAATATTGGTATACTTAATCAATATATTGTATAATAATACAATGATAGGTATATCCAATATATTGTATATTGGAAAACCTAATCAATATGTTGTATAATAATACAATAATAGGTATATCTAATCAATATATTGTATATTGGTATACCTAATCAATATATTGTATAATAATACAATAATAGGTATATCTAATCAATATAGGATCCCTCGATGGCGCAGTGGGTTAAACCGCTGAGCTGCTGAACTTGCTGACCGAAGGGCCACAGGTTCAAATCCAGGGAGCAGGGTGAGCTCCCACTCTTAGCCCCAGCTTCTGCCAACCTAGCAGTTTGAAAAAATACAAATGTGAGTAGATCAATAGGTTAACACTCCGGTGGGAAGGTAAGGGTATCGAACTGCATTAATTCGATAGTGCAGATGCACTCTTTAATAAGCCTTCCCTATGGGGCTCACCGAGGAAACCCGTCGTCCTGCCATTCCTCCTTCAGCTCCATGTCTGTGATATTCAGCGACTCATCTCCTTGTGTTACGGTTTCCTTCTTCAACCTGCAACAATGAGAAAGAGTGGCTTGTGAACCCTCTCGAGAAGCCAATATCGCAAAATAAATCTCATCAAGTTGAAGCAGAAGTCACAGAGATATTTTATTGCGATCCAGCTGGAAAGGATGCAAAGCCGCGATATTTCATCTGGCAAGCGTACAGTGAATACAAAATAAAGAATTTTTATACATAAAACAGAGTTGTCATTTTTGAATTTCCCGCTCCCCGCCCCTCTGCTGGCTCGGCGATGATTGGCTGGCACTCTACAGCTGGGAGGAGGCTTGGCCGCCTCCTGAGCGCCTCAGCCAATGGGTGAGCTTCTGCCGCCTCAGCCCACTGGCCAATCAAGAGAGAGGGAGGTGGGACGAGAGGGAAACAATGAAGTCTTGAGTGGATTATGGAAATATGTGGTGTCCAAATGGCTGGCCTTCAAGCCAGCCAGCTTATTGTCCTGAAGGGTGAGGGAAACAATGAAGTCTTGAGTGGATTATGGAAATATGT